CCACTACCACTACGACTACTACGACTACTACGACTGCTACGACTGCTGCTGCTGCTGCTGCTACTACTACTACTACTACTACTACTACTTCTACTTCTACTTCTACTTCTACTTCTACTTGTACTTCTACTTTGACGTCTTCTTCTTTACTGCTACTTCTACTTCTACTTCGGCTTCTACTTCTACTGCTACTAGCCCTCTGTTCCTGCTGCTTAGTGGCTGTAGACCCGAAGTACGAGCCACCTTCCTGCAGTAGCTGGTCTTCCTATGTCTTCCTTCCAAGAAGTTGGAAAGCCTACGGAAAGTCACAGGTCCCCGGTTCTGCCAGCTTTCCCAGTTGTGCGCACTGGAACCCCAACCTCCCAAACCCTAAACCCAAGAACAAGCCTCCAGGACCATGGGAACTGAGACCAAACCAGCAAGCCCAAACCCAAAAACCCTACATCCTGAACCCAAGTGTTTCACCTCAACCGACTATGCACCAATGACCTCCGTTGGCCTGATCGCCGAGGCCCATGACTACTGAATTGAGCCCAAACCCGAAAGCCTAAACCCCAAACCCCAAAACGCCTAAAACTAAGACCCTAAACCCTCAACCCTATAAGCCCTTTTTAACCCTCAGCCCATGATTGCTGAATTGAGCCCCGGCACAGAAGCTGCCAGGTTTCCGCCTTTGCCAGGCTGGCGAGGAGCTTTCAGTCTGGGAGCCTTGAAGGCCACTCGGCTTGGGTTTTAGGGTTCAGGGTTTAAGGTTTAGGGTTGAGGGTTCAGGGTTTAAGGTTTAGGGTTCGGGTTTAGGGTTCAGGGTTCAGGGTTTAAGGTTTCGGGTTTTGGGGTTTGGGACGAAATTTCGAAACCCTGAACACCAACAACCTCGCCTGGCATGCCCTAAGTGGAGGCCTAAATCGGGACGTTCCTCGGTTCCTATCTCCCAGGCCTCCTTGATATTTTTACTGACTATTACTAGTATTATTATCCGTCTGCTTTTTATTCTTGTTTATGCCAACATGTAACGTGCATTTTTCTACATGCATCCATGCATACATGCATCCATGCATACATACGTACATACATACATACGCATACACATACACATACACGTACACATACACATACATGTATGTGCATTTCTCGAAATCCATTCATCGAGATATATGCTAAAACTCATTGATAACCCGGTACTCCAAATCCCTGAACCCCGAAACCCCAAAACTCTGAAGCCCAAGCGTTAGAACTTATGGCCCTGAATGTCGATGGTAGAGTTTGCTTGGCCTACGTCTCTGCAACAAGGTATGTAACTAGTTGCTTGCCTTGTAGGAATCGACCTTGCTTGGCGCCGGGCTATGTCCCCTTTAGGGCCTAGAACTCTGTCTTGAAACTTTTAGGGCTAGTTGTTTGAGTGAGGCAGATTTTGCTTGGTGAGCAACTGTAGTGAGAGTTACTCGTATCGTATCTGTCTAACCTCGCTGTGAGCTTCGTTCTCTGCCATGCGAGAGGGAAAAAGCCTTAGAAACTTAAACCCTGTCGCGGGAAAAGCAGCTTAGAAAATTCACTCACCTTAGGCTGGCACCACTCGGCGGAACTAGCAGCTGCTTCGGGCTTGCCCCAAGCACCTGGGGCAGCCCAAGTTTTCAGGCGTACGGGTTTACGGGCTAAGCTGTTTCAGGCTATGGGGTGAAGGATGCTGCCAGCAGTCTACAGATTATCGCTGCTCGTGGCTTTGACATTCGAGCCTATAAGCTATGTTTTTTGCCCTTGGGAGTTTCGGTTTGGGGTTACATACGGGCTCCAGGGTTTGAGTCTGTCGATCTCAGGGGTTTCCAAGAACTACTAGCAGTTTCTAGCAGACTTTTGGGGTAGTGTTTCTAGTATTTCCATGTCTTTGCTTTTTGAGGTTATTGATTCTGTTTGAAGGGTGGTCAAGACATAATGATCATGACATTTTATGGCTTACCTTCTACAGGGAGCAGAATGGCGTGCCGCGAGACATTGCCAAAAGTCGCAGACTCAATCCGAGGTTGTGGTGGAAGCATCCGAGGCAGCTTTCTTTGCAAGGCGCTCCGGGCGAGATAGGACTCGATAGTACCTAGGGTTTAAGGCATTGGGCAATTGATTGTATTTTTTCGGTTATGAACATCAAGGACGCATACGTAAAAGGCAAACATATGCATACATGTCGGTTTTACGCATGTCTATGCATACACCTATAGGCTTATGTGCCTTCAACCTTATGCTCCTTTGCAGACCCGAGCTTATATATTTCAATCGCAATATTCGGTCACATATTCCGCCCCACAGTGGAAGGCTTGAGGCTTGACCTTCGGAGTTTAGTTCCCCTCCCCCGCTCGCCGCCGGAAAAATGCTTGGGTGCTTAAAGCTGCAGGGTTGAGGCCAGGGTCTGCAGTTTGTGGTCGCAGCTTCAATCTCCAGACGTGGGGTGGCAAGCCATTCAATCGGGTGGGGAGTTTCAGTTGCGGACTTGGCAAGAGCTGTCGCCAGGCGAGTGGCTGCAGGACGGTATCATTCAGTCTTGCTCCGGAGGATGGGCAGCCCACTCCGCCGTAACCTTGGGAGCAAAGCTTCGTAGTCCGATAGAAGTTGACGGTGGCTTTTGCTTCCCTCCTGGCCTTGAGGAACGTCCGTAGGAGAGCAACTAGTTCCCATCTTCTCGTTTTCAGGTCAAGGCTTCCTGAGCTTCAGTCTTGGGTTCTCGAATGCGGGGAGATGGGGATTCTCATGTTTGACACCGGATCGTAGCGCCGGCATGCTGTGGCCTTACGGGCCTTACGGGCTGCAAGTCCTTCTCCAAGAAAGCTTCGGTTCACAATCTGCAAAAATAAGCCGCCAGGAGTGGTGGCGCGGTGGCCTTCGGACTCAACTCTGCTGGAGAGTCTCTACTTCCGCGTTTGCCAGCCGGTGTTCGCTACATCGCAGTTGCCGCAGGCACCCAGCACACACTGCTACTGCGGAGCGATGGCCGTGTTGGGTCCTGTGGGTTGAACCTTGATGGCCAGAGAAGCCTCGCAGCGCTGGAAGACCGCGTCCTCATCTCTGTAGCCGCTGGAGGCTTTCACAGTGTCCTCTTGGACTCCGATGGTTCTTGTGAAGCTGTTGGGTGCAATGATCATGGCCAATGTCAAGTGAGTTCTCGCCTGTCGGGACGACGCTGCATCTCCATTGCTGCTGGGGCTCAGCACACCATTTGCATCTTGGAGGATGGAAATGCCATTGCTGTCGGCCTGGATGACAATGGGCAGTGTAGCATCCCAGCAATTTCACAGGTTCCTGTGCCGGGGAAGCGCGTGAGCTGGCTTCGTTACACATCCGCTGCTGGAGGGAGCAAGCACACCGTCCTCCTGCGCAACGACGGTGAAGCAGAGCCTCGACTTGCAAAAGAGAGTCGTTCGGCATTGCCCATGCCTGTACGTCCCCAGCAACATGGCAAACAGCTGCAAAACTGCGCTCCAACCCTGCAAACCCTAAGCTCACTAGGGCTCACTAGGGCCACTAGGGTTTAGTTTATTTCAGATATCTGTTGAGCTGACTCCCGCAAAGGCTGCCTTGGGATGGAATGCCTATGGTCAGTGCAGCCTGCCGCCACTGCTGCTAGGCTGAGGTTGGGTCAACAGGCTTTTTCGGTTGCTGATTTGGATTGGAGTTGTTTTGCTTTGGTCTAGGGTGTATTCGGGGTTAACTAAGCAAGCTGTGAACGTGGCACCGGCGGGCGGAGGTGGCGGTGGTAGGCCAACCATTGCTGTGAAACGCATCAACTATTCTGAGGTTCCGACAAAGCTGCTGGAACGAAGTCAAATGGTTACGAAAGCCGGACAACCTTCTGCGGAATCCGACATACATAAGCTCGGTCCTTGACAAGACCTGGGTGTACTACAGTGTCCCGGTTGAGAAGTGCTGAGAACTGGTCATTCACACCTTGTCACTATGCGTACGTAGGTACAACGATGACGAATCGTCATGAATTGCAGTTTTCATCGACCTCTTAGCTCATCACCACTGCCACCTTCCAGGTGGTGCCACGAAGTTGCTAGGCCATGAGGGGGCACGAAGACCAATGAAGGATTGGAACCGATGAGATGGCTCCCACTGCTTGTAGAATCCCACCTCAAAGAAGTACTATTCTTGAATCCCATGGGCCATAGAGTCAGCCTGCAAAATATGATCCCGCCACGAGGTCCCAGCATGCGCGATACACCTCCGTCAGCGCAGGGGACCGTCACACGGCGCTGTGCTGCAATGTTTGAAGATTGAACATGGAAGGCTCATGGTGACAGGGGATTTGTGGGTGGAGTAACTTTTGTCATGAGCCATGGTTTCGGTTTCTGACAGCACCTCTCCATCCCTTTCTCTGTCGCTCTCTCTGTTCATGTTTCTATATTTATACATGCGGAAGTAGGGGACATGGCAGCAGGCGGAAAGGAAGTGACGTGCTTCTGTCTTTATCCGCTGCGAGTACGCGGACCATGCAAATATAATTGTGCCACCAGGCCCTTTGTTTGCGGCTCGGGCTCTGGATTTCTGGAATCCTACTCTAGATCGAAACCTTAGAATCAATTCAGGCCCTTTGTAGCCTTTTTTTGAGGCTCGGGGTTTTATAAGAGTCGAGGTGCTTATCCGCAACGACGGGGAGGCGGTGGCCACTGGAGACAACAGCTGCCACTTAGCTCTGTCGGATTTTCTCTGCAGCTTGAAGGACAAGGTCCCGGGCCGGTGTAGAGGGCTCCTGGATCTTCTGGCTTCGTCGCTGTCGCGCCTTCTTCTCCAACAGAAAACCACCGTCCAAACTCATGACTCTCATAAAGCCGCATTCGCTGCGGAGTCGTCAACTGTAGACCCCCCCCCCCTACACGGATGTGAACCTCGTAAGCCCATGATCCCAAAACCACGCAGAGGTGGCCAGTGTCAGATACCTCCACTTCCACTGGGTATGCGCCGCCTGGTGTTCAGCAGGTTGTTCTCTGAGCTGTGGCCGGTCATGTTGCTCAACCTAGGGACAGGGACTGGTTCGGTTGATTGCAAGCAACTGAGGCTACATGGCGGCAGCTGCTGGCAGCACTCACACGTTGCCTTTTGGCTGGTCGTGCATTCGCTCGGGCTGTTCATTTCCGGTCGCCTTTCTATACCAGAGCATTATTCTTCGAATGGTCTCTTCCGATCCGTTTGTATTAAGATGCCCCTGACTCTTTGTCTGATCAGAGGTAGCGAGGAAATTTGCAGTAGGATACAGGCTGTTCATGTCCGAGATTGAGCTAAGGCTTTTGCGAAGTGGCCCGGCCGAAGGGAGTGCGACAACGATGTCGTTGACACGCGCTGACGATGATAAGGATGGCGATTCACGATAGTGATCATGATAGATGATGAATACGACAATAAGCTTGTGACTAGTCTTGTTGATGATGGCGAGTACGGTACATGCTGCAATGCTGCTTGCGGTAGTGATGATGAACAAAGTGGTGATATCGGTGCTGGTGCTGGTCATAATGAAAGCACTCGGCAGGGAGCAGACGATCATCATTATCTTCATCACCAAAGCACAGGGATCAAAGCATGATAGGAAACCTAACACGATGCAGCTGACGGCACCCCGACGACAATCATGATGAGGACTACCGACTACCACGTTGGAAAATGATTTCTGTGGTGTGGCTTTTCATTTCGTGCGGTAGTCGCCACCTTTTTTGTAGCAGAAGCTGTCGTCGGGGAAGTCGTGGTGGTCGTAGTGGTATTGGGACTAGGTATTAGCACTGGTCGTCGTCGTCGTCGTCACGTTGTGGTGGGAGTGTAGCATCAGCGCGACTCATCTCGGTAGTAGAAGCACAGCTGAACAGTACTAGAGTTAGTAGTGGAGGATCCGAGAACACGCTATAACATGCTATATTGTGCTATTTACACGGCATAATATGCTTGAACCTACTACTACTTAGTACTAAGTCAGGGTCTATAGGATCAGTGAGTTGAGCTGCCTTGTGGCACTGCCTTGCGCCAAGAGCAGACATCCCTTGTAGCTCAAGCCTTCCTACACTGTGAACTGCCTTAAGGCCTCGCATCATGGGATGCCGAGCTTCCAGCTCTAATCCATGAGCCGATAGGAGTAATCTCGTTTTGAGGCGATGGTCGAGTGCTCGCCTGCGGCAGCAACAGCGACGGCCAGTGTGATGTGCCCGCTGATGTCTAGGTTGCTCATAAATACGACCATAATGCGAATATAATGTAGTCAACATAATAGAAACAGCGGCGCTTTACAAGTACATGCAGTCGATCCCAAAGCTGGAGCGGCAACACATAACTGGACAAAGCTTCCGGCAGCCGTGCAGGCTAACAGGTTTTGTGACCCTTTCGTTCTTTTGCCTGTGGTACCTATAGTCTCCATGGTAGTTCCTTTTTGGGATTACCTCATAGGATCCCAAGTACCAAACTGGTTCGACAAAATAGGAGCTGCAATGGAGACTAGGGGTACTATGCCAGGCACTCTGGGACTGCAAGGTCTCTGAGAGGATGATCGAGGGCATGGGGGTTTCGCAAGAGATGATGGACGCAAAGCCCAGGCTCAACTTATTCTCTATACAGATATACACATACATACATATATATATACACACATACACATGCATATACAGATACATGTTGTATGTGTGTATATTTACATATGTTTTAGCAACAGAAAGGTCGAGCTTGCTCTAAAACCTGGCATGGCCACAAGCCGACCTCCGCCGTGCTCGTCCAAAACGGATCTGCCTGGTGGAGAGACATCGCCAGAGGGGCTTTTAAGTCGAAGCTGCTTCAGCTGAAACTGTGCCGTCTATTTCGATCGATGTGCGGCAAAACGAGGCGCAGGCAGCAGCCCTTGCTGCTGGATGGCTGCTAAGATATCAGGTTGAATGTTGATTCATCGAGTTGCGCCGTCCCGCATCCGGAGACTGGACCCAGGTTCTGTCGAGGTCGGAATATGAATACTAAACCCCTTCGTCCCCTCTGGGTATGCAGAGCAGTAAACCCCCAAACCCTATTCCAAGAACAAAGGCACTGCTATTCAACTCGACGCAAGCACCGAAAACTCTCATAAAACTCTGAGCCCATAAGGTCCCCTATCTTCGGTGACCCCCTAAACCGTACACGAGCGCTTGCAGCTAAGGCTCGGACTTTGCATCGGTGGAATGCACTTTTTGTGAAACTGGAGACTTGGAGCGATTGGAAGAAACCGGTTTTGGGTCTGTAGGGTGCTAGGGTTTAGGGCGGCCGGGTTTTCGCTTCGGCCGCCGGCATGAAGTCTTGGTAGCTGCAAACACTGCGGGCTCTGACGCACCAACGCTCCCGCATTGTGATTGGGCTTTGCTGCTTGAGTCGTTACAGCGTTTCTACGACGGCTGTTGTCATGCTTCGGACTTCGGAGGTATCCAAGTTGCGTGCGAGCATTTACCAGGTTCCAGCCGTTCCAGCATACAGCGTGTATGCTTCGCCCAGGCTCCAATCTCCCGAACCCGAACCCCAAAGCCCAAATCTCGTTGCCGCGCATTGTCGGCCCATTTCCTACTCAAACCCTAACCTCCCCACAACCGGTCCCCTGCCTCCAAAGCCTCCAAAGCCTTCCCCAGGATTTTACGCCCCCAATATGAGCATGACCCAGTGTGAGCAGTGCAGCTCGGTCAGCATCAGGAGCCTTGCCGAAGGGCCTACGTGGTTGGGTCCTGTAAGCACCAGGAGACACAAAAAAGGCATCTCGTTCGAGTGTGAGTGCCGAAACCCTGAACTTCTAAACCGTGAGGTTACTCCTTTCTGCTGCCCCTGACCTCAACAATCTATCTGACCAGCTGCGAGATTGACGTGGAGGTGCATGGGCTTGGTCAAGCAAACGTTTTTAAGTACAATTGCAATGCTTCATACGGTTCGTATGAAGTTTAGTTGGCAGGGTACTTGTTTGGGGATCCTTTCAATACTGTTCTTATTGTTTAATTGGGGTGATTATCACTGGAGCTCCCGCATTGACCTCCCGGTCACGTGGGTTCTCGCGATCAGTACTGCAGCCGGCCGAAAATCGCAGTTCAGCCGAAAACATGTCAAGCTATAATAATAGTAGTAATAATATAATAATCATAATCATAATAATAGTAATAAATAAAATAATAATACATGCAAACCCCTGAACAAGAAGTTGTAACCCTGGGTCCCTCGAGTGCCAGGGACGTAAGGGGACCCTATAAGCCTTGCCAGATGCAGTCCTCCACAGAACCGCCTGAGCCTACATCCTTTGCGCCAGGCTATAGTGGCCATGCTCTTCATGCTCCTTGCCGTGACGAAGCTGTGGATGCTTCTCCCTTATATCTTTCGATTTCGTGGGGGCCCCAGTG